AGTTAAATAAATTGAAATCAAATATTACATAAATTGAAATTTATATACTCGTAAGCATCTTTTGGAAATTCATTTAATTTTTTAATCAGCAAAATACAAATCGTGTTGATAATATTGAAAAAACAGTAAATTTGTTTCCCACTTTAAATCACAGATTACTTGGACTAAACAAAAACTGCAAGTAGTTAAGTAAATTCAATGACGAACGGTTTCCATGGCGCCACTGAACTATTAACGAACAATCCGTGTAATAATAATCTGACCTAATGAGGTACTTTCCAACACAAAGAGATAGTGTATCAATGTTACCGGATTAGCGTGAACTATGCGAATTCAAAATCGACAAATTCATTCAATGTGCAAATTACGTAGTCTTAGATTTTGCTTATATAAATTTGAAACGGGCGATGTACAAGATTTGCCGGTGACATCTGCAAATACCATGACTAACAAATTACTTTTTAACAAAAGAGATATGTCTGTGTGAGATCATGACTTAAAAAGTTATTGATTCGAGTAAACAGTCCACTAAAGTGCGATCGTGAGGTTATGATTACTATACAAGTGGTTGTCGTAAGATTATTTGCGAATGTAGAACGTTGGCCCGAATGTTATTGGAATTGATTCATTTGTATAATTATGTCTGCGAATTATGTTTAACTAAAAACTTTGTTGGCTTTGTACAGGCTATAATGCCGGCGTAATATGTTAAGGTTCCCAGTAACCCTTGGCGTTCATTTCTTTTAAACATGCAGACCTAAACTTTCATCATACTATCTAGTGATAAACTATTTGAAACTTTCTCAATTGCTGCATATGTTTTATCCTAGACCTAATGACGTAGACACAACGAGAATCAAGAATTTTTACGATAAACATTATTGAATACATAATGGTAGTATTTTTTAAAAGGGTTATCGCTCCCAGCCACCGTATTGATACAATATAGCTAGTTTTTATTCGACAATTGGACAATAACAACAAAAAGTTTACGTTAAATATTAGGAATTGTATGGAGAACTAACCGCCAACCTAGTAGCCTCACTAGTCGGCCAGGCACCTTAAGAAGATTAGGAATTTACTTACGAATAACTTTAAAGTTCTCAAAATTAAAAGAAATCAAAATATGTCGTTACTATAAATGTAATCCAATAAAAGTATTCCTAGATTTCTTAAGACTTGAAATCTAAATAATCCGAGTAAAATGTTAATAATAAAAAGATTTGTCCGACTTATCGCGTTTCCTTATTTTAATTGTTCCAAAAAATTTGCTACCGCAAGTATAACTGGTGCATTATAATTCTAATGTCGTCATACTTGTATGAACACATTATTTTCTGTTTTTTGGAAAGCGAATGTTAGGGTTGACAATACATTTTACGAGGGCTTCGGCAGAAGTCACATCACTGACAAATAATACACTAATTAATAAACTTTTCTTATGACCTATATTCTGTGCTGATTGTTTAACGAATAAGTTGTTGCCCATTTATCCGAAACACGGAATTCTTAGACAATGCTAATGCACGGTCATGGCAAATTATCGGACCGTGTCCAGAGACGTTCTTAACATTTTTTATCAGACAGCTCGCTATAATGCTTTACTTAAAATTATTACTCTTTTAATGCTTATCGAATATGTTTATATGTTTATTTATAAAAAGGGAAAACGATATATATCTTTTATATTAAATAATTATATTAAATTAGCATAAGAATAATATAATTGAGGAAAATCTATGTACTTTAGGACTTGTTAGTTTTACATTTGTAAAACACATTTGGAATTTATTATCAGAAGGACACTATTAAGTTACACTATTAGTAATTATTTGTCATATTTTATCACATCGTTAAAACGTAATAACTTATGAGAAGATCCCGTTGGATGCGACCAGGGCTTCTCAACCTTTTGTAGGTCAGGGACCATTTTATAATATTCTTCTTGGCAGGGACTACTATGTAAAAATTGGGTTATGAAAAATCTTAATTACTTTTCAAATCTCTCATAAATTTTGTCGATGTCGATACAAAATAGTTTTTAATAAAAAATCATATTTAAAAGTGAAGAAATTTCACATTAACTATTTGAACGTAAATTTTTGGACATTAGCAATGGCTCTATAATGTATTGTGACGATGTCGTGTTGGTCGATGCTATCACAAAAGATTAGTCCATCTCACTAAAGATAAGGACTTAAACTCACGACTTAATTAATCCTAGGATAAAATGCCTCAAACGTTAATTGTAGACATGCAAATGATAGATAAAATCTTCATAAAGACTATAAACCATAAAAATATTGACTGCAGAAATGAAAGTGGCTTTTTATTATAAAAAAAGAAAAACTGTTCATCTGCTGCTATGATCGTCTCTTGGTATTGATATTTGAAACAACCAATATTACAGGTGCGCTTTTGTTGTGTGTTAAAAAGACTAAATATGTGTTATATGATCAGGACACTGGTTTTCTATGTCCTTTATCTAAATATTCCTTTGATTAAATGAAAAATAAATTTCACTAGCTAAACTTTGGCCGCATATTTCGGCATATCTCTTGCCTTACTGATATATTTAAATAAAGTACAATTATTAATAAATCCTTATGCAAATATGTTAACTAATTAAAATATAATACCTTATCATAAAGTAAAATCGAAGCAGAATGTTTATTAAAAACAAATATTCGAAATTTTAAAAATATGCTTTAGTAAAAATAGAAATCTGATATCTTGCTTTAAACATTTCGCTACAGAGTCGCGTAATTAATAATCTTACTAATGTTATAAATGCGAATGTTTGGATATATGGATGGATGGATGTTTGTTAGAAGGTATCTCCAGAAATCAGCATGGATCTAGCTGAAATTTGTCATAAATGTGGAACATAGTCTGGAAGCACACATAGACTACGTACTAAGTTTGTTTTTTTAATCCCGCTCGGACGCAGTCTCGGACGACAGCTAGTGTGATAAAAGGATTTACCAGAATTCCGCTAATAAGTTGTATAGATCTCGTGGACACGCAATCTTTACTCAAATCTAACACCAACATTAACTTGCACGACAAAATCTTCTATTCAATGGTAGCAAATAACAAGACATTGTAGTAACATACGCGCTCAAATGTTGTTAATTAAATTAACATATTCAAATTACATTTACTAATAGATAAAATAAATATATAATGTACGTGACAATTAGAACGTAATATTGATTTACTCTAATTATTTGAAACATTAAATCGATATATCTAGAGAAAGGAAATATCTATCACTCTGTATTTAAATACGTTATCGATTAAGAGAAAGTTTTATTATGAGTCATATTTCAACATACTCGTTTTTTTTTATTAACCAAATAAAGATGGAAAATTATATTTGTTTATAATAAACATTTAGTACCTGGGTGACTGGTGAGCTTTGCTCGGTATTTTTTTTTAATTGTTTTTTGGAAATTATATTATTTAAATACGAATTACTAATAAAATTATGAAATATGAATAATATTTTTCGACCTTACCGGTAGAAAAAGTTAAGTTTATGTTTAAGTTGATTATCGATCAAACACGAATAAAATGACGTTTTCTAAAAATGATCCCTAGCTAGATCGATTTATCGCCCCCGAAACCCCCTATAAACTAATTTTTATGAAAATCGCCGATTCCGAGATTCCAATTATATATATAAATATATACAAGAATTGCTCATTTAAAGATATAAGATAATTAATATAGATTAATTGCTACTTTACATCGCTTCCAAACAAATACAATTATTGATTACTAGCTGTCGACCGCGACTCCTTCCCCGCAGTATTGAAAAAACAAAAACATAATTAGTTCTTCCAAAGTATGCTACATTTTATGAAGATCCGTTGAGCTGTTCTAGAGATACCTTCAAACAAATACCCATCTATCCATCGAAACTGTCGCATTTATAATATTAAAAAGTAAGATTATATACAAACAAAATTTTAGTCATCCATATCTTAACGTACCATAATTGAGTACGTAATGAATATAAAAATAGGCGCATTCGTTCTACTCATTAGTACCGATTTTAAAATCGAATCAAATTAAGATCTTCGCATATATTCAATATAGATATCGTTTATATAATCACGTAGATTGTAGGTTTTTTAGTATTTTACATAAAATAATGTTAATTTCATAACTAATGCAAGGTACCCAAATGTAAAAAAGCTGGCAAGAATATCACGTAGGTAGTTTAAAAAAATTATAACAACAATCTACGTAATATTGCTTTCCCGTACATTCTACTTAATTGTGGATTTTCGCAGTAGAAAAAAGCGGCAATTGACCCGTCTAGTTTTTAGTTTAAAATGCCTTTTTATTGAGTAAACATCGAATGGCTAAGAATATAGAACCGTAACAGCATAAGAAATGGGGTATCCCGAGTTCTTCTAAGAAAATTGTAAAATTTGTTTCAGAACATTTTTTTTCATATAAAAAGTGTAGTATTACAAAGATCCATCTTGCACTGAAAATGTTTTATCCCAAAAATAAACTAGCTCACTATAATACTGACTTTAATAGCTTTTTCATACTTTAAAAGTTATTATCTGCCACTGTTTACATTACAATATTATGTTTTTTAGAGTTACGGTAATATTTACGATTGTAAAACGCCAGATAAACACATAAAAAAGTGTTCGGTATATTTATCTATTGGTGCGATCGGTTATGAATGAATAATGGCGTCGCAAGGTTCCTAATTCATCTTGCTTGCACATACATATATAGCACGTCTACAAGCTATTGTTTACTTTGATAGTTTAATGTATTTCGAAGCTAAACATTGGGATCCAATAAGAATAGTGGTAAAGTATTAAGAACTATCTGTTCTAAAATGTTTAAGATACTCCTTCGATTGATAATTATTAAATAAATTAATATAATCAACAATCTTTAAATTTAATCAGTTGAACAAACTATACAACACAGAAAAACATTACATAAAAATAAGAGATAAAACTTACGTTGTTTTTTGTCCAGATACATTATTAAAAATTAATACTGTCAACGCACATATTAAAAAAGTTTTTAAGCTCATTTTGAAGAATTTAACATAGCAACGCGGTTTTAACTTGCGTTAGATGTCCAAAGGACGTCTACGCCGCGCGACTGTTGCACCAATACTGATCTCTGAACAGTGCAATTGTTAGGGAAGCTATTTTTCCGTACCACTTAGTTGGAGGTTGCGCGCGCGCTGTTTGCTTTGAGCTTTTACACATATAACGGATAAATGAACACAGTAGCTTAATTAAATTTTAAACAATATTACGTGCGTCATTAGATAGGTTTACCAGATAACATGAATATATAGAACTAGTAGCTGTCGCCCGTGATTCCACCCGCGCGGAAATAAAAAAATAAAATAATTAGAGGCCTGTGTTCTTCTAGATTATGTTCTACGTCTATGTCAAATTTCAGCTGAATTCGTTTAGCTGTTCTGGAGATACCTTCAAACATCCATCCATCCAAATATCCGCATTTATAATATTGGTAAGATGATGCATATAGTGGTTTAAATTAAATAAAACACTTTGTTTGTGATTTTCCAATTTTAATGTTTAACTGCATGTGGTTGCATACAATTGACGGTGTATGTTATAAAATTTAAATCCTGTAATAAATTTGTTAGCCTTTCGAAGTGACGCTCAGTGTACGGGAGTGATGCTTCGATAAAACTTTCTAAATTTGCCACTTTTAGATTGCCTGAAATAATTTCAGGAGTTAATATATTAAATACTATTTGAGCTGCATGACAATTTTTGTTATTCGTATTCCATTCCACGGCAAATCTTAAAAGTGTTTCTTTTTGTGTATGATTTATTTCTTTTAGTGTTTCAAAAAGCTTATTGTGTCCGTGTTTTAAAACTTCATTTATAATTTTAAGGACATGTAAGGGCCTCTCCATTCGTAATGCTAATTTCAAAGCTTTTACCAATTTTTTATCGTGCAATAAATTTTGTAATTCTTGCTCTTGTAAAATTAACTCTTCTCTCTCTTTTGCCATTTTTTCACGCCGTTCTACGGTCACGTCTTTTAGTTTGACTAATTTGGAATCAGAGCCTCCTGTTATTATAAGAGATTCATCTCTATTGACTGTCATAGACCATACTTTTCCGTCATGATTATCCAACGACATTTTACATTCAGAAGTTTTTATGTTCCAGAGTTTTAAAAGACCGTCTGCACCACTCGATATAATTTGCTGACCTTTACTTAAAAATTCTATTTTCAATACTGAACTTTCGTGACCTTCGAATGTTTTAAGACAACTCAAATCAGCTATAGACCAAAGTTTAAGTGTACTGTCGGCGGAAGATGTTAACACTACTTGGTCAACTGGTGAAAACCTAACACACCATATTCCTCTTCTATGCCCTTTCAAAACTCCTAATAACGTTAAATCTTCAGACCAAAGTTTCGCTGTCTTATCCTGTGATGCTGTGGCAATCATTTTATCGTTAGGGGACACAGCAACACAATTTATATCCATTTGATGAGCTAATTCTGTATGCGTCGCATTTAACTTTACGTCGACAACATCTTGATTTTTAGGTACATCCCAGATTTTCAAACAGGTATCTTGACTTACAGATACGAAAAACTTATCTGACGTTTGTGCCGTAAATACGGACCCCACAGATGCAGTATGCCTGTACCCTACTCCTAAACATTGTATTTCATTATTCAATTGATTAATCCAAATTCTAACTGTATTATCTTTTCCTGATGATACAAACATATCTGGTCTTGTTGGGAAATTTGCAAGTGATAAAACAATATCAGTGTGTCCTTTAACAATCTTACAATTCAAATTATCTAATTCATAATGCTTTAAGTCACGACTATTGGTAGCAACAACAAAATGTGTCTCATCTTTACCTAAAAATATTATATCTAATATTTCATCTGTAAAACCAATCATTTGCTTTAGACAATTAAATGTCTCCAAATCATGAATGATAATATTATGATCCACTGTTACAACTGATAGCATATTTCTTGCTTCATTGAATTGTAAATGTGTTATAGCTAATCCACCTTCTTCAGATGCTGGTGATACAAGACTATTGTTTTGTTCAAACATTAAACGACTCATTTGCATATTCCATACTTTAACAACTCCCTTTTCACCAGCACAAGCAACATATATACCATCCATTTCTAACTTCTTCTTGAAGTTAGGTATTCTGAATGATGATGGTAATAATATAGCTGTTTCAATACTTTCATAGACAGGTAAAACTTTCAAAGCTTTACTTTCATTTAATTTCCAAAGTATAAGCACTCTGTCTCTACCAGAGCTGACCATATGTTCACCATCTGATGTAAAAAGTAGAGATGTCACTTTACTAAAATGTCCAGTGTATATTTGTAGTTCTTTCCCAGATTTTGAGTCCCAAGATCTTATCTTTGTATCATCAGCTGCACCAAAGATTAATTGCTTTGAGACATCTGGATGATACTTGACAATTGTGAACACTCCCATAGCACCATGAAGACTACTAATACATGTATAGTGATTTAGATCCCACAACCTGATGTTACCGTCGGAACTTGCTGATGCAATATTACTATCAGTAGAATCAAATGCTAGGCGTGCCACTGCTCCTTTGTGACCAGATCGCCAAACTTTTTTCTGTTCTCCTGTATTTTTATCCCAAAGTTTCATCAAGCCACTTTTATGTGCAGTCACTACAACCTCATTATTGTTAGAGAGTTGGAATGTGTAAATCTGATCAGCTTCCTCTTTGTCTTCATTAACTTCACCAATTGTTAAAACATTAGAGAGTGTGTTTATATCAACAACTTTAATTACATCTTCGCATTGACAAAGAAATTGGCCTCCATCTGATGTCCAGTGAATATCTCCACCAGTGTAGAAAGCAGTATACTCATTAGACTTTTCATACCTAAAACAAATTTATTTGATATGATGAAATGAAATGTTTCATAAATATTTTGTAAAAAGGTGTACTAACTAAATTATTGCACATTAAATGAAAATATGTAATGTTTTAAACGGCCCAAAGAGAATCAAAGACCGGTAATATGCCAAAACAATAAACCGCAAATCAAAAATAAGTGGAAGTGTAAATAAATACTTACAATTCTTTTAGCATGTGTGCCATTTTGTTAAATATAATAGGAATTTAGATAACAAATCCTTCTTAATTCTTGGAGTACGTATCCTGATTTTAAATTAATATTTATTTTCTTTCCTCACGTGGGCAAAAATGTCATTTTTTCAAAGACTTGTGTTAAAAGTGAAAACGTCAAAAAGATACATTTCGTTTGATGCATACTTTGAATTTTTTTTAATAATTTAACATCTGAATGAAGTGCTGCTAGAGGGTGCTTTAAAATATGTTGTTAACTGCAATCACCGTAAAAGTCAGTGTTTTTTTTTATTTAAGTCAGTAATTTTCTACAAAAAAATGACGTCAGAGATGGATCTTTATTTTTCCTTCTATCTTTATGAAATATTAAAAAGGTATATCATGTCATTGTCATAGACACCTAAAAAGACAAGGCTGTATGACTTAGTTCCTTGGCCTGCTCTTTCGAGCGAATAATAAAAACAACATAGACATGTCAATCTCTCATGTCAAACGAAAAATAATAACATAACCTCAAATATTTCGTTAAAGTAAATAAGATGTTAAAAAGTAGAATTTTCAATTATGTAAGCAAAAACTTTTCTACGCAAAAAGTTACAAATAATGTTACTCATCAAAATTCTTTTGAGACGGTATATTCATTTCCGCAAATTAAGTACATAGCAATTATAAACAGACTGAAAATATATCATTTTTTGGGAACAGGTATAGCTATACCTAGTTGTGGATTACTGGAAATGAGTAATGTTTTATCGAGTAATGCGTTTCTCGCGACATCGTACGTAGGTAAGTAATTATTTATTTATGTATACATCTTGAAATGTATACCATACCACTTATTCATGCAAAGTAAATTTTCTCTCACTAACATATAAGACTGCTGACTCTCACTGCTGCAGTCAGTTAATAATCACTACAGATGTAGGTATCTTAGAAGTCCCTTAGTAACCCATAGATTTCTTAGTTGACAATCAAACTATATGTGTGCGGGGAAAAATATTAAATGGTAAACTGAGGTCTTTAAATTTGTAAACATATTTTCATCCACATTACACAATACAAATAATAAATGACTTTTATTTTTAGGTATAACTGGAGCTGCTGTTTTCTCACTGGCCAGTATTCCATTCCGGAATTTGATAGGCTTTTTATACATAAGTGAAGATAATAAATCAATAAAAATTTCTTCCGTTGACTTCTGGGGGAGGCGGAAGGACAGAATAATAGATGCAGATGATTGGATTCCATTATATGACATGCCACCAAAATTTACCGACCCACTATTTCGCACACCACAGTTATCTGATGGTACAAAATATAAACTTGTTATGAAGTATGGTAAAATAATTAATGCTACAAAAGTAGGTCAAGTTTTAGAATAACTAAGAAAATTGATTTTATATAAGATCTATTTATTACAGGAATAAAAAGGACAAAAAAAACAAGCAATATTAATGCATCATGTCATTCTATTCCTTAAATAATACAATATTGTAAACCATTTTTTAAATATAATAAATTTAGATTAAATAGAATGGAAATCAATTGCATGTGTTTGTCTATAATTTATGTGTATTGCTGCCATATAAAATGGTTGCTTTAAAATGTTTACTTATCAATTAATTATTATCCATCTGTATATACAAATTATTACAAAATTACACCTATACATAAGGCCCAAGGGGCCTTTGAAATTTGTGTACCTCAGTCAGCCAAATAAAATAATAAGCATTTCACATCCACAATAAAAGATTTATTTTACAATTTTAACATTTCTAGTCAACAAGACTAGGCTCCCATCATATTTTATTAAAGTAAAACATTTTTAATTATATGAATTTCACCAAAAAAAAAGATTACAAAAAAAAATTCTTGATCATGACTTAAATTCCCCCTAACTTAGGGTAGGCTCCAAGCCCTCAGTGGGGACACCTCAGCTAATGATGATGAGTCGAATTATTGTTAAAAATTCAAACTTCATTAAATTAAACATAAATAAAAACAAAATATGCATTTAAAAAACTGACAAATAAATATGTGATAATAAAAAAACTAACTCATATCCATGGGAACCCAATAACATTTACTTAGAAAATTTAAAATTAGACAAGAAATAAATTTCATTAGTGCCACAAGGATTGCATAAGAGATTATAAAAAAATTTCCTACTTGTTCTAGCGTATGCAATTCAAACTATGCTTCTTTCATAGTCATAAGGTATAAAATAGACACGAAATTCAACCCTTTTTTCTAAGATTTTACTAATTCAACTAAGGCAAGCCGATGTTGAATTTACAAATTACCTTGTTTTTATGAAACCTAAATTTAAGTGCATCTACTTTAATGTGACAAGATGGATATAAATTATATTTCACAATCCTGGTTGTATGGCAAAAGCTTTAGAAACAAGGGTTCTAATAGCCCAATGTTTCATAAATTCACTTGATTATCGTGAGTTCTATGTGTTTGGTTTTTATCTAGGACTAGGCTAGGTCTAGAATTAATTTCTAGCCACGTCGGTACTATCAGGATTAGTCAACCCAAGCTTGTGCTGGCTGGTCTGTGGTGAAGGGGCTAACTCCATTCCTCTCCATTGCATCGAGAACTTCGCAAACGTACGCCGCAACGTCTGCCCGACTTTGCTCTATACCTTTAATGAATGGATGCTCTAATAGTCTGTTGTATTTTGGTCGCTGAGTTTCTTCTTTTATGAGGCTGAAAAATTAATAGTAAGTAAAGTTTTTTTTAAATCATATACAGTCATCCTGTATCTTGTCTGTAACTTCATATAGTAGTTTTCATTAAAAAGTTAAATGTTCTACTTAAAAATTTATTTAAACATTTTTTTTTAATGAAAATCATATACACTACAAAACTTATGGTTAGACTTATCCGTGAATCTATTCATCTACTTAATAGCGACCCCACAAAAAATTATTCTCCTAATAAGAAAGACATTTGATTTATTTATTTATAGACTTAACTTATAAATGGCTTGTGAATACTTACCAAGTATTGACAAAGTGGACAAAGTTGTTTGAGAATGAGTTGTTCTTGTTAGTGAGACGTGGCGGATCACCTTGAACTACTTGTTGTAACTGCTCAAACACGGAACCCCAACGAGGGTATGGAAAAGCTCCTGTTGCCACTTCCATTAATGTTATTCCGAGAGACCAAACGTCAGAGCGCACGTCATATCCTCTCGCACGACCTGGGTCAATCCGTTCTGGCTAAAAATACATTTTCAATTAGCCTATATTTTTGTTTGTAAACATCTTTGTCATACCATGCTGAATCAATTCATTTTAGGATAAAGAAATTAAGGGACATGCTGTGCCGACCCTCGATAGGGATAAGGGCAGGTTGATGATGATAAAGAAATTATGGTGGAAATCATGGTATAATTTATCAAAATTATGTAATACAAAAAGATTTTCTTAACTTAGTGTTTTGTTATACTTACAGCCATGTAGGGTCTACATCCAGCATCCCGAGTCCGCGCTATTGAGTCCACCAGTTTACCTGATATACCAAAGTCACAAAGCTTTATGTTCCCCCTTCTGTCTAATAATATGTTAGAAGGTTTTACATCCCTGGAAATAAAAGTCACAATTTTTACAGAACTTTCAAAACACTTAGACTTTTTGTGAATGCATTACCTATATTTTAGATTAAAGACACAATTTTACGTCAAACAATTTCTTTTTATCACTTACCGATGAATAATTTTTAATTTCTCCTTTAAATAATTTAAAGCTTTGACTGTTGCAAGAGTTATTTTAGCTAAAATAGTTTCAGGTATTCGAGTCTGCATCCTTTCACAAATGAACTTGTAAAATTTGTCTAAAGATGTATCCATCAGTTCCATGCATATCCAACAATCACCCTGAAAAAAATATTTTAATTATATTAACAAAGAATTTTTAAATTTATTCTATGCCACTACAAATGAGTTATAATTCAGTTTTAGGATCAAAAAATTATATATTCTTAATTTTAGCTATGCTTTCATATGTACTTACTTCCTTAAATAGTGCCCCATAAAACTGTACAATATAGACACATTCATTGCTTTTCATGACAACTTCAAGATCCATAAGCAACTGCTTTTGTTCCTTTTCATCCACAGTGGAGCGAATCCTCTTCACAGCCATTACTCTGTTAGTTCTATTATAAAAAAAAATAACCAGTCATCATAATAGCAGATCTTGAACAAATTCATTCATATAATTTTCACTACTACTAAGTTAAAATAATTTATATTCACTATATAGCATTTATTCACAATTTTACTTAAGATGAAAGAATAATCTACACTTACTTTCTGTGAACCATTTTATTTACTGCTCCAAAGGCACCTCTACCAATTTCACCAAGATCCTGTAAGTCATCTGCAGTAAAATCATATATTTCTGTAGCTGATAATTGCAACTTTCCTGATGATTGCATTGTAGGATAAATTCTACATCTATCTCTGAAAATACAAGAAATATACCAATAAATTAAGAAAAGAAATGTTAATCAAGTTTAAAGAAGAGTATCTGATAATAGTTCTTGTAAATGTCATGTTTTCGATAAATTGTTATTTCCTGTGAAAAATCTCTCACCATTTAGCGAAATATGTTAAAATTGAATTTGTAATGATTTTCGATATAAACATATTTGTTTTGCCTTAATATTTACCTGGTATTGTCAGGCAAAACATCTCTGATAGTACGCGCTGGGACTCTCGCTTTCGGCCCCGGTGTATTCGAAGGGAACGGCACAAATGCTGCCCCATCACCTGATGGTCCACCAAGCTGTAAATCTAACATTTTGCGTTTTTCTGAACAGAATAAATTTAAATCTGGTTTTGGCATGTTTGGTCTACTTGGCCCTGTAAAAAACAAATTCATGAAGATTTATATAAGTATGTAAAGCTTCTTATATAAGAAGAATTAATTGATAAAAGGAACACAATGTTTTGATCGAGGTTTACCTTGACTTGACGATACTTCGCCATTCTTCGACATTTTTATAAACAGGGCAAAACAACAATCAATTATGTTCAAGGCCCCTGCTTTAAGTGTTTACTCCAAAATTCGCCATTTGAAGTTAAATTACAATGTTTAGTTCAATTTAATAACACATTTTAAGATGTTTTGACTAAATAATGCATCGTAGGTGCCTTAAAATTCGACAACAGAAACAGACTATAGACAAGACACACGGCAAAGTTTGACATTTTTCACAGAGTATCCCGCAAAGAGTAGATATTTCAAGTATGTATGATATTTTTAATTGAAAGTGTTGCCACTGTTCTAACATAACTATAAACTTCATACTTTTAACCTTATAGGAAGGGTTTTTTCATCAAACTGCTACATTTATAAGAATCTGGTTTAGGTATACTACTATAGCATTTTTATTTCACACGTTACTGTTCTTTTTCCCCCAAAATGATTTGAACCTTGCCCAATAAAAACGGAATCTTTTTTGCTCTTCGGCTACTCCGAAGTGGAAGTCGTTTTATTTATTTAAAAGAATTCATATATTTTAACGAACTCCATCACTAGATCAAAGAAATTAGGAAATGTTAGTAATGAGTGCACAAAAAAAGTGATTTCATAAGATTTTTTATAAATTCTATAGGCATATAATACACGTGGTACACAATTATTTTGGTTTCCATAATGTTATGTTCTTTTCTGTTTTTTAGACACTTTTGTACTTGTTTCAATTTGTCTTACTGCATCTTCATGTTTACTGTGTCTTTTAGATTTGCTTTTTTCTGTGGCAACACTTTTCACATCATCATGTTGACCATTAGTTATTTCTTGGCTGCTATCATCTACAGACACATTTTTATTTCTGCTATCCTTTCTTTTGAGAGACTTTGTTTTTGCTTGTGAAGTTGCTTGCTCACATCCATCACCTATGGCTCTGTCTGCCACATTAGGCTTAGTTTTGTTGAAATCAACATATGAGACATCAATGACTCTAGATTTTGATGGTTTTGAATCCATGATTTCTTCCTCGTACTCATTTTCTATCCACCTAAAAATGATATTAATTATTTTAAATTATCTATTAATAAAATTATAGCATTTATATGGCAATACACCCAGACTTTGACATGAATTTAATTACCAAAAAGATCCAAAACAAAATTTAAGTTGAGATGTGTGTCACAAACATTTTATACATTTTTTTACCTTTCGTCAAGTTCTCCTCTAATATATGGCAATGCTCCATACAGATCCAAAACTACAATTCGAAATACAACTTCCTGTCCTTCATCAATATTTGTACCAATCCATTTGTTACCTGGTTCTTCTGTGGGTCTTGGTATAACAACATTGAAAACTCTGTAAGAAAAATAAAATAAATAGATGATATACTATGTCTCCAAATCATTACTAACTTAAAATATAGGAGTTTCCTAAAAACAACAGTAACAATATTATGTTTAGTATCTAAAATATACTTTAGAAAATTTTAGGTACTAAATTTGTCTATTTCAACACAAAGTAAAATTATTGTATTTAGTGAAATTAAAATAAAATACATGAACAAGCCAGTACAAAGTGATTTTTAATTACATGGACAAAGCATTACTAATTCAATTAACCCTTATGTTCATTTTGTATAGTATACCATACATACAACTTGGTAAAAATATACAATCATTATAAAATTATTTTTAACTTAGTTTTTTAACTTTGTTTTTTGCTTTTCTTCTTTTTTTGAAATCTTGCCACAATAAGGGTTTAACTAAGAATTATATGACTTTGGAATCCAATTTAAATTATGACAACCTAATATTTTCAAATGAATTGAAGAAAAAAAATATCTTTAAACAAGGGGAAGAATATGGTAATGTGTTACCTGTGTACGAGAATTCCTAAATGTGTTACACTCTTTTTGTTGACAATGCCTTTCAAAGTAGCACCTACACGGGGTTGAAATACAAAGTAGTCAGCTTGTACTTGAAAATATATATCGCCATTGTCATTTCGAATAGTTCCTACATTTTGAAGAACGCGTAAATTTTTGTAACTCATTATTATTCCTTGAAATCTGTAACAATTTAAAATAACAATAATTAATGGAATAGAAATATTGGTAAATAAAATATAGCAAGGACAGAACCGGTTGTAAAGAATGACAAATTAAATAATATCTTCTATGGAACCTTTACAGATTGTTTTATTTACTATTTACTCATTGGATACATTCTAAACATGGTTATGTTCATGAGGCGTATTTTATTGTAATATGTTTTGTTTATTTTATTGCAATAAATTCTACTTACTCCTTATCATATTTGCCAATTTTGTAATCTAATAACTTTTTTATAGACTCTTTTAAGTTCCCTAAACACCAAGGTTGTAAAGCTAAATTTTGAGTCACTTTCCTCTCCACAACACAAGAATTTTTATCATTGGCTAGTTTCCTCAACTCTTTTAATTCGAATTTTATAATAGCAGACATCTTTTAATCATTAATTTAACCAAATGTTACAAAATAACAAAACATTACAAAAATATTCGCATCATATCATGTCACTTATGTCAAAGCGACTCATGTCTAAATATGTCAAAAATTTGTTCTATTTAAAGTATGGCAGAAATATTAATAGAGGTCAGTGCTTGCACGACATTTTTAGCCTTTTAATTTTAAATATATACTTCTGTGTTAACTTAAAATTATGGATAAGATGAAAATTCAAAACAATGCAATTAAATATCTACATTCTTGGTCACAGTTTCAATTTTAAAATGTTAGTCGTGAAACAAGTCGTATTGCGTTTGTCACAATTGTCAATCTTGTTAATGTCAAATGATCTTTTCATTTTGAAATTCAATAAGATATTGTTTTCAATAATTAAAGGAATAAATTGAATCTAACATTTGAGTTATAATTATCTTTAAGTCCATAATGAGAAATCTTACTAATAAAATAATATTTTTTAATAGATGTCAATCACAGCTAAGCCGATGTGCGTTCAATAGGTAATGCAAAAATAAACATAACCTTACAAATGTTTCTTTTTATAAATAACTACTACTTTCATATGTTTTTCAGTACCGCGAAGACCACTCAAACCAGGTTTTATTCTCGACCAACAAGTTTCCCAGATTATTATCAAAATCCAATATTTAGAAAGGAAGATCAGGCAAAACTGATTGAAAACAATGACCTATCTAAATTGGCTACTACTCCGTTCAGGCCTCCAGCATCGTACGAGACGTCATCTGTGTATCACGATCCAATTGTAAAGTAAGGATATTCATACATTATTTTTTATATTTATGGAAATCCGCAGAAGGCCTGTACTTAAATATATTCCTTTTGTCTTTTATAGTAAAGTTATAAATCATGTGATGGAAGATGGTAAGAAACAGTTGGCTCGCAGTTTAGTTGAGAAGGCATTTGAGAATGTTAAGAGAATACAAATTGAACGATACCACTTAGCAACAACGCCAGAAGAGAAGTCCAAGATAATATTAAGTCCAAAAGATATATTGCATAGGGCAATTGAAAACAGTAAGCCCTTACTACAACTATCTCCTATAAAACGAGGAGGCATAACCTATCAGGTATGTTATTACACACAGAATAAAAATTTTGTAAAAGATAAACAAATATAGGGTTAACAAATTTATCTCACTATTTTATAAGTATTTTTTTTAAAGCAGAATAGCATAAATAGGAACAAAAATTGTGAGCTCAGCAATTCAATATTCTTATGATTCCATATATTAAATTAGAGATAAATTACAAAAACTGACTTGGCTATTACTTACACTTATAAAAAATCGTTGTCGCCCATGACTCCATACATGCGGAATTAAAAAAAACTTCATTAGTTGTCTATGTGTTTTCAGACTATGTTCTACATCTATGCCAAATTTCAGCCGTTCCTGAGATACTTTCCAACAAACATCCATCCTTCCAAACATTTGTATTTATAATATTAGTAAGATTTAATTTAATATATTTATATTTTAGGTACCTGGACCTATAACTGAAAAGAGATCATTATTCTTAGCAATTAAGTGGTTACTGGAAGCGGCAAATGATAAAGATAGAACAGTACATTTTCCTGAACAATTTGCTTGGGAACTGTTAGATGCTGCTAATAATACTGGCAAAGTGGTGAAGAGAAAGCAAGATCTTCATAGACAATGTGAGGCAAACAGGGCGTATGCTCATTATAGATGGCAGTAGTGGGTGCTTTGTGTTACCAGCTATAAAAAATAATATAAAAGAACTTGTCAGTAAATGTAGAAAATGTACACTAAATAATTTAGTTAAGTTTTAAAATAAACAAACTTAATACAAAATGTGTTTTTTTGTCTTCCAATTTTATTTTCAAATGCTTATAAGAAATTATCGAGAATGGAAATAAAAAATATCTTAAAATTTAAAATTAATGGATCCAAAACATGTTAGTATAATAAAGTTTAAGTAAAACTCTAAGGATTAAGAATTAATATAATAATATATAATATAATAATAATTATAATAACTTATATATGTTAAGTTAAGTTATAAGTTAAGTTAAGTCTCTAAATCTACTATAACTTATATATGTTTATTCTTAATCTTTAATCCTTAATAGTAATATTATTTCATAAATAATTTAGCAATTTCTTTGTATTTCATATTTCCAAGTATGTTGATAATTTCACAAAAAAAGAGGTTATAATTAAACAATATTTTCTGTCGTATTTTTATATTGAAATCTTAAAGATAAGATTATTATGATTAAACGATTTTTGATACGTGCGACTGACACTGTCTGCAAATATTTACTTTCAAGATCTGACTATATAATTACTTTTATAATAAAAAGAATTATATAAATAAAAAAATGGTTTTATTTACTTTCAAAGTTTAATTTAAAACGGATTTAACAGTCAACATTTGGGAGACTACAAAATGCGGGTAGTTTTAACAGCGTCGGGTAAAAGATTTTCTATTTTTGTCTGTATATGTACCATACCTCTTCTACTTACTAAGGTTAAAAAGATTCAAATAAATGATCACTTTGCCGACTTATTTAACAATAATAGAATGAGGGAAAACTGTGTTACAAACATGAATATTTGGGTAAGTCAATGCTAAGATTTGAATCACGAACTCCTCTTATTTACCTATTGTGCAAGTGTCTGCCCTACTTACAATTCGTACTGGTTTACATTCGTATTTATTATTAATTCCGAAATACTCAAGTTCCTCACGTACAAAAGCATTTTTTTTTAATTTATATCTTTATCGTAAATAACCATATCTAATTCCTCCGTTTATTTTACGATCTTAAGCCGTAAAATCGTATATTCTCTTTGTTGTTGGTAATCCCTTTTGACTTATTATTTTTGTTCACTTTGCAAAGGTTAAATGAAGGCAAGGCAGCGATGGTCACGTACGGCATAGCCAGTGGCGCCGACGTTCGGAGGAAAGGCAACAAAATACATAGAGCCAAAAAAGGAGAGTCCAGAACTAGATGTTTACAGACGCTTTCTTCGTCGTCTGAAAAGAATGCTGAAAATATGTTTGGTATGGTTTTTCTTCATGGTCCTAAGTGCATAATTTAAGTTTCAGAACACAGACAAAAACTGAGTGGTGATAGTTTAATCAGCATACTTTTGCAAACGAAAACAGATGAAATTTATATCAGTTGGAAGATAATTTAGATCAAGGGCGCATCATACGTATAGATAAACGTGTAAAATCTGAAACAATAGTAAACTCAGATAACAATGACATAATAATACGGATACGTTTCTATGTAAATGCTACTCGTAGCTTGAAGATGTAAGACACAACATGAAGTCGTGTGAGACTGTCGTCGACGCGAATCCGTCCTTACATTCTTTATCTAATCTTATTATAGTTAATCAATATCCTGAATGTAGTCGTTTTAATTTATCGGTAATTGATTTTATGTTTTTCTATACGGCCCTTCATTTGCGCCGGTTAGGTGGTGTTTTAATTTTTTTTAATTCATGTGTTTAGTGAATTAAAGTAAAATTAGTGTGTTGAGAAAAAACAAGAGTTTATTTACTTTTACCAGTGGGTACTGCGGACGTTTGGTAAGTATTTTTTTTTATATTCAATACCAGCATTGATTACAATGCTGACAAATAAATAGCCAACTGTTTACGTTTCCCGCTCGGTAAAAATTAAATACCCAGGTAACAAAGTAATTAAAAAATATATATATTATTAATGTAATAATATAATATTATAATTATTCCTTTGTCATTTATTTAATTGCATTAAATAAATTTTGTAGTGATCGATAAAATCCTTTTTAGTAGTTTTTGTAGTTTATGCAGAATAACATTGTTCCTTCTTGTAACGTAGGAAGGGATCGATTTAAGATTTTGTTTCATTAGAACGGATGTATTTATGCCAAATCAAGATTAAGTATAATAGGATCGACTGCTTCAGTCTGGGAATATTCATGTTTTGTGATGGAGCCATAATTTTTTGGACAATAGCTGTCAACCACAACACCGTCCGCGCGGAATTAAAAAAAATACTCAATAATAAGCCTAAGTGTTTTTCTAGACTATGGTCTATATTCATGCAGCCGTTTGGGAGATTCCTTCAAACAAATGCCAATTGAAAGGCCAATAGCCGGTGGTTAAGGGTACGGATTTCCGATCACGTGGTCGATGGTTCGAATCCCGCTATCCGACTATTGTCATAAACCATATCCTAGCACAAGCCTAGAGTTGAGTTGGAATGAAATACAAGAAATATAAGTAAATTAAGGAAAATCTGCTAATATTTTGAAAAAAACATCCGTCCGTCCAGAGATATTATTCGCATTTATAATATTAGTAAGATATGTAATCGAATACGTAAACAAATTATGATGATAAAATATTATCGGAAGACATAGGATATTACCTGTCGTAATTTTTCTTTGTATTATTTTTGCAAATTTTTAAGCAGTTTCGAAACAAAATTATTTTATAATACATACGAACATTCATCCCTTATTTAGGCTTTAAACAGTGGTACGATATAAATTGCAAGTACTTAATATTTTGAAAAATTTATTAGAGGCGAGTAAATATAGCCCTATACCACAATGTTCATTTGTGGTACAATTTATTAAGCATTACTCTTTCAGATTTGACCTTTGGCACAATGTTTTCAATATTTGTTGCGTTTTCTACAAAAAAAATCTGTCTTGTATTTCTCACGCCATCTGTTACAAACTGTTAAAAACAATAAGATATAATATTTGTTTATAATACGCGATATATATTATAATCTATTTATTAGAAGATATATACATTTTACATTATATTTCCAAGCACATTTTAAAAATTCCATGCAAATATGTTTAGGAGATATAAGATTTTTAATCAGACACAGAGACTCCAATTCAAATATTATATATTTTCCGTGAATATTGCCTTAACTAAAAAAACTACAAACTTTATTTTCATTTATTAATAAAATGTACTGTCCTTTCTGAGTAACTCAAATAATTTAGGCACTTATCACTAAATCAATATACTAAAAGGAATGGTCATTAATGCGATAACAAAATGTTATAGTTATATGAAAACTTAGCCTTTTAGTCAAATTGCCAATTTTGCACGCAGTAGCTGCAGTATCGTTATGTTTCCAGTTAGGCGACGATATATATATTAATGGTAGAAGAGATTTTAGTAAAAGTTTAAGTAATAGCCATCTACTTAGACCTGATTAGAAAATTTGCTCTACTTTAAAACAATGACGTATAAATTATTTCCTTCTTTTTAGGGTTCCGTACCTCATAGGAAAAAAACGGAACCCTTATAGGATCACTTTGTTGTCCGTCCGTCCATCTGTCAAGACCCTTTTTTATATTAGTTATTAAGAAAATTTAATATTCCGAGAATTTTTTTACAGTAGGTTACTGCCTAATCTGCACAAAGACCTCACCATTTTCATTCCACTTATCTTTCTTGCAGTGGAAACTGATTCAATGTCTTTCATACAACCGCAGCAACGTTTCTTTATAAAAATCTATGTGCATATAAATAGAATATGTTACAAAACAGAACATGAAAAACCTTTTAAATCTAACAGGTTTAACGCGTAGAAATCATCGATCGTTATCAATGGAATAAAACTTTATATCGTAACATGTGGACGACCGCGACTATGTCTGCGCCGAAGTAAAAATAACTTAATACCCTATGTGTTCTTCCAGACTATGCTCTATATCTATGCCAAATTTCATCGAGATACGTTCAGCCGTTCTGGAGATATCTTCTTACAAACATCCATCCAAACATTCGCATTTATAATATTAGTAATATTAGTGGCTTGAATTTTATATGATTTATAGTTTTTATGTGTTCAATAATGACTTGTCGTGATATAGTTTTTATATTTGACTGCGACAATTGTGATATTAGGTATCTACACCTCAACAATGATAAGAACATTCAGTAACGTTTGACGCACATCTATTGCCGTAAATATACGCTGTAGCGCTCGTGTTATTGTGCGATTGTGATACTACAACAGGTATTGTATACTAACATAAAGAATACATAAAATCTTCATATATACCTTCTCGACGTAAACAAGTCGGTTATGTAAATAACAATACATATTACTTCTTACTAATATTGTTAATACGAAAGTGTAGATCGATGAATGGATCGACGGATCTTGATGAGATTTAGCATAGATGTAGAACATAGTTTGGAAGGACATATAGGCTACTAATAAAGTTTTTTTTAGAACCGCGCGAACGGAGTCGCGGGCGACACCTAGATTATTATGAATGTATTGCACATATTTAACATACATATAATATACGAATATTTTTGCTTATCTTGTACGTATGTCTTGTTCAACAAACATCATATTTTTTTTCATATTCTGTATGGCTCTTGATGAGTTGTCTACAAAAAGTAGTTTTATGTTCTCATTTTTTAATAAACGTAGTTGCCGCACACGACTCAGTCCGCGAGGAATAAAAAAAACTTGTTCTATGTGTTCTTAGAGAATATGTTCTATATGTTTTGCAATTTCAGCGAGATCCATGCAGCATTTCTGTAGATACTTTCTAACAAACATCCATCCATACATACAAACATTCGCATTTATAATAGTAATGAGAATTCTATTTTTGTAACATTTTGAAATGTTATTTTTCTTTTTAAATAGTTTTGATATTCTTAATATTTTGATAGCGTGTTAAATCTCTTTCCACCGAATTTTTTATTTTATTATATTATTGGTATTAAAAATAAATTAAAAAAATGCAGTCTGTATGACTCATAATGTGTGTTTTCATTGATTAAATTTATTAGTTCCTTTG